GTATGTTAAAAAAGTGAATAAAAATCCATAGAAAACAAATATTCAAATACTTTCCATAAGAACCCAGATAAGTATAATCCCTTAAGTATAATCCCCTCCCATTGCTGTATCTATGCAGCCATACTCTAAAAAAGACATAGCAACACTAGCAATAATGAAGCTAAACGATCCCTTTAAATTCCTTAATTTAAAAATCACTTACAGTAAATAGCTACAAGGACAGTATTTACACATTGATACTAGCCTAAGCACAGGCTGCTAGGCAATGGTCCATCCTTTTCCAGAGTACACAATATGGGCAAAGTACTGACCCTCTGCTCTCTACTTAGGTCAGGAAGCTTTGTGTGGCCACTTTAGTCATGAAATCACATAATAAGTAGCCTTGGAATCCATTGAAGTAGAAGCAATAACAACAGTCTGTGTACCCATGTTTTCAGAGAATACCTAGAGAACACATGCATCTTGGGCAGTGAGTTACCCAATACAAGCCATCACATGTTGGTCCTCATGTGCTAGGTGAATAATAGCTTCTTATCGGGCTTGAATCTCTTGCAGTAGGGGCTTTATATGTGTGTAATAGTAAAGGATGCAATTAAATAATTCCTGTATTCTATCGCTCACATAAAACATAAAGTGCATTATTAATACATAAGTGGACCCATCATCATCTTCATTATCATCAGAACCTCTCAGCTCCATGAGTATGGTTCTTCTGGCAATGATATTAAGTGCAAGTGTGACAGCAGATGCGACATTATATCTGCCTGGCTCAGCTATGAGTCTTACTCCAGAGAAAAAAGCTTGTCCAGTACTGGTAAACATGCTGGTAAGCTCACTTTTAAGCTGCACATCCTTAGATCTGGTAAGCTACTACCAATATCAAGCAGATACATGCTGGAACCAATCCCAGTCCCTGTTAAAGACACAGTGGGCATCAGAAACTGCCTGTACAGGGCTGGGAAGTTGGCTCAGTGGTAGAGCACTTGCCTTGAATGCCTGAGGCCCTGGGTTCACTTCCTCAGCACCACATAAGCAAAAAGAAAAAAGCTGGAAGTGGCGCTGTGGCTCAAGTGGTAGAGTGCTAGCGTTGAGCTGAAGAGCTGAGGGACAGCGCCCAGGCCCAGAGTTCAGGCCCCACGACTGGACCCCCCCCCAAAAAAAAAGAAACTGCCTGTACAAAGGTTTTAAGATTGCTATAGCCACTTGCCACATGGAAGGTGACACCGATTGACATTAACATTTATCTCTTTTTGCCCTTTCCAAAAGAAGTCCATGAGGTGATAGAATCATCAGTGGCAATCTGCAAAACCAGCTTTGCCCTGGAGTTTTCATCAACTCAACTGTTACTACCAAAAGCCATTATCTTTGAGATGGAGTTGTGGCTCCAATGAGCAAAAGCAGAATATACCAAGTTTGAGTACTGATCTTGAATCTTTAAAAAATAGTCATCATCTTGACTCCTTAGTGACAACCTATGTAACCTGAGACACTCATTTACAAGAATTTGCATAGATAATTCTCTCTGGAGGCATCCCGAGGCTCTGTACCAACTGTATTCTAGTCTTGTTAGCACATCACAACCCATCCCAATGGCAGCTAGGGTGCTCTGCTTTCATTACATTTGACTACATAAAAGGGAGAGACATTGGGAAGAGTTTATGACTATCTTAGATGTTTCCTTGCAAGTCTCTTGATGTCTGTAACAGAAAAGGCATCCTTATCAGTGGAAGAAGAGACTTAGTTCATTTTTTTGGTCCAGAATGACCTTGGCACTAAAGTTTCATCAAGGATGTGGCAGCCAAACCTTTACTAAAGTTGCTCCTGGTTTCTTGATGTGCTTCTGAAATGTACCAAGCTCCAAAGAGGATGAAGGAATTCATGCCTTAGCAAAATTTTCTTTTTTTGGGGGGTGGGGAGGTCCGGTCGTGGGGTTTGAACTCTGGGCCTGGGTGCTGTCCCTCAGCTCAAGGCTAGTGCTCTACCACTTGAGCCACAGCGC